TAGTTGCTTCCTTGGTCTCCCACATGGAGAAAAGCTTTCTCCTTTTGTTTCTCTGGTTGTTTCTCTTTTTTCTCTTGGATTCATCCTCTGCTCAGATGCCAGGTACATACTATTTCTGTTAGAACTGATATCTCTTTTTTTTTTTTTTCTGGGTTTTCTACCTGCGTTTGTTTGGTGTGGTTAATGGTCTCCAATCTTTGTTTATGTTGGGTAACACCCAATTCAAAGAAAGGAATTAAAAGTAACCCCTTTATAATCTAGTGAAATTTTGCTGAGAAAGGATTATCACTTGGTAAAAATTAACAAATAAAAATGAGGGAGAAGGATACAAGAATGACCAGACACACAGGAACCTAGGCTTGGGTTTTTAATGCTATCTTTCTAGGTGTCAAGATTTAATTTTTCGGAGACTTAGAGTAGAGAAATGAAGTGAGACCTTGACGGCGCGTTTGGAGTGCCGGAAACGAGGCAGGATAGGACACAGTTTTTGTCCTGTCTTGCTATTTCCCATGTTTGGTGGAACAAAGGATGGGACACGCATCATCCTATATTTGGCTAAAATCAATTTGGAGTCCTCACCTTACAAAATTGATAAGTTTTAATGTCTAACTTTATAATGTGACACTTTTAACTAAATTGGTAGGTTTTAACTTATAATCTTATAATATGATACTTTTAACTCTTTACCTTATAAAGTTGATAGGTTTTAACCTTTCACCTTATAAAATTAGTAGGTTTTAATCCATCATCTTATATTATGACACTTTTAACTTATTATTTGTACGAATTGAAGAAAATAATTTTTATTTAACATTAGGTTACAATATTCTATTAGTTCTGTTAGTTAACTGTCAATTCTGTTAGTTGATTATCAGTTTTGTTAGCTGACTATTATTTTGTTAGTTGATTGTTAGCATCTGGTAGTTGATTGTTAGCATATGTTAGTTGACTGTTAGTATCTGTTAGTATTTTGTTAATGGAACTAATAAATAAAAATGAATTTAAATTTCATATTTTTTATAACGGAATACTAACGAATATTAACAGTCAACTAACGGAACTAACAGAACTAACAGAACATTATAACTTGATGTTAGGTGAGGGTTATTTTCTTTAATTTATATCGGTGAGAGACTAAAAATATCATAATATAAGGTAAGAGGTTAAAACCTACTAATTTTGTAAAGTGAAGGGCTAAAACTTATCAATTTTGTAAGATAAAAGACTAAAACTATCATATTATAAGGTAAGGGGTTAAAACTTATTAATTTTATAAAGTGAGGGGCTAAATATTGATTTTTGCCCCTACATTTTATCCAATCCCGACTCTTTTTTAATTAAATGTATCCCACCTCCCA